AGCTAAATTGAGGAAGTGTGGTCTGGATGGTCGGGTAGTGAGGTAGACTGTGAACTGGCTGAAGGAGAGAAGCCAGAGAGTTGTAGTCTATGGGGCAGAGTCTAGTTGGAGGCCTGTATCTAGTGGAGTGCCTCAAGGGTCGGTACTGGGACCAGTATTATTTAATATATTCATCAATGATTTAGATGAGGGAATTGAGTGTACTATCAGCAAGTTTGCTGATGACACTAAGCTGGGAGGGGTGGCCAACACGCCAGAAGGCTGTGCTGCCATCCAGAGGGACCTGGACAGGCTGGAGAGCTGGGCGGGGAATAACTTGATGAAATATAACAAGGGAAAGTGTAGAGTCCTGCATCTGGGCAGGAACAACCCCAGGTTCCAGTATAGGCTGGGGAACGACCTGTTAGAGAGCAGTGTAGGGGAGAGGGACCTGGGGGTCCTGGTGGACAACAGGGTGACCATGAGCCGACACTGTGCCCTTGTGGCCAAGAAGGCCAATGGCATCCTGGGTTGTATTAGAAGGGGGGTGGTTAGTAGGTCGAGAGAGGTCCTCCTTCCCCTCTACTCAGCCCTGGTGAGACCTCATCTGGAATATTGTGTCCAGTTCTGGGCCCCTCAGTTTAAGAAGGACAGGGACCTGCTGGAGAGAGTCCAGCGCAGGGCAACTAAGATGATTAAGGGAGTGGAGCATCTCCCTTATGAGGAAAGACTGAGGGAGCTGGGTCTCTATAGTTTGGAGAAGAGGAGATTGAGGGGTGACCTTATTAGTGTATATAAATATATAAAGGGGGAGTGTCACGAGGATGGAGCCAGGCTCTTCTCAGTGGCAAACAATGAAAGGACAAGGGGTAATGGGTACAAATTGGAGCACAAGAGTTTCCACTTAAACCTGAGAAGAAACTTCTTCTCAGTGAGGGTGACGGAACACTGGAACAGGCTGCCCAGGGAGGTTGTGGAATCTCCTTGTTTGGAGACATTCAAAACCCACCTGGACACGTTCCTGTGTAACCTTATCTAGGTGTTCCTGCTCCGGCAGGGGGATTGGACTAGATGATCTTTTGAGGTACCTTCCAATCTCTAACATACTGTGATACTGTGATACTGTGAAGGCTTGTGGATTGAGATAAGGATGGGGAGAGATCACTCACCAACTGCCACTAGCAAAATGGACTTTGGTGAAATTAATTTTATTTCAAGTCATAGAATCATAGGATAGTTAGGGTTGGAAAGGACCTTAAGAACATTTAGTTCCAACCCCCCTGCTATGGGCAGGGACACCTCACACCAAACCATCTCTCCCAAGGCTTTGTCCAACCTGGCCTTGAACACCTCCAGGGATGGAGCATTGACGGTTTCCCTGGGCAATCCATTCCAGTGCCTCACCACCCTAACAGTAAAGAATTTCACCCTTATATCCAATCTAAACTTCCCCTGTTTAAGTTTGAACCCATTACCCTTTGTCCTGTCACTACAGTCCCTAATGAAGAGTCCCTCTCCAGCATCCCTATAGGCCCCCTTCAGATACTGGAAGGCTGCCATGAGGTCTCCACGCAGCCTTCCCTTCTCCAGGCTGAACAGCCCCAACTTTCTCAGCCTATCTTCATACAGGAGGTGTTCCAGTCCCCTGATCATCCTCGTGGCCCTCCTCTGGACTTGTTCCAACAGTTCCATGTCCCTTTTATGTTGAGGACACCAGAACTGCACACAATACTCCAAGTGAGGTCTCACGAGAGCAGAGTAGAGGGGCAGGATCACCTCCTTCAACCTTCTGGTCACACTCCTTTTGATGCAGCCCAGGATACGGTTCACTTTCTGAGCTGCGAGCGTACACTGAAACCGGCTCATGTTCATTTTCTTATCAGCCAACACCCCCAAGTCCTTCCCCGCAGGGCTGCTCTGCATCTCTTCTCTGCCCAACCTGTAGCTGTGTCTGGGATTTCTCTGACCCACGTGTAGGACCTTGCACTTGACATGGTTAAACTTCATGAGGTTGGCATCAGCCCACCTCACAAGTGTGTCAAGGTCCCTCTGGATGGCATTCCTTCCCTCCAGCGTATCAACCAAACCACACAGCTTGGGTCATCAGCAAACTTGCTGAGGGTGCACTCAATCCCACTGTCCATGTCAGCGACGAAGATGTTGAACAAGACCAGTGCCAGCACCGATCCCTGAGGGACACCACTCGTTACTGGTCTCCAGCTGGATATTGAGCCATTGACCACAACTCTTTGTGTGTGGCCATCCAGCCAGTTCTTTATCCACCAGGTGGTCCATTCATCAAATTGATGTCTCTCCAATTTAGAGACAAGGATGTCGTGTGGGACAGTGTTGAATGCTTTACACAAGTCCAGGTAGATGACATCAACTGCTCTACTGCTGTCCATCAGCTCTGTAGCCCAGTGAAGCCATGCTGGCTGTCACCAAGCACCTTGTTGATTTTAATGTGCCTTAGCATGCCTTCCAGGAGTATCTGCTCCAAGATTTTTCCAGGCATAGAGGTGAGACTGACTGGTCTGTAATTCTCCGGGTCATCCATTTTCGCCTTCTTGAAAATGGGGTTATATTTCCCTTTTTCCAGTCATCGGGAACTTAGAGTAGGGTAACAAGAAATAAAACCTAAGTCTTTAAATACATTCCTTACAATTCTCTCTTCTTTCTGGGCTAAATTTGCTCCTGAATTCTCTACCTCCTCTCCTTAGTTGCTCAGGGGGATGGGGCATGTGGGTTGTTCATCACATGTTGTTTCTGCTGCTTGCTTTTTCCTCCTCAGGGGAAGACTCCACACTCTTCCCCTGCTCCAGCATATAGTCCCTCCCACAGCAGACTGTTCTCCATGAACTTCTCCAACATGAGTCTCTCCCACAGACTGCTGTTCTTCAAACTCTGATCCAGTGTGGGCCCCTTCCATGGGTGCAGTCCTTCAGGAACAGACTGCTCCAGTGTGGGTCCCTTCCATGGGGTCACAATTCCAGCAGAAAACCTGCTGCACTGTGGGCTCCTCTCTCCACAGGACCACAGCTCCTGCCAGGAGCCTGCTCCAGCACAGGCTTCCCACAGGGTCACAACCTCCTTCTGGCATCCACCTGCTCCGGCGTAGGGTTCTTCATAGGCTGCAGTTGGAGATCTGCTCCTCCATGGACCTCCATGGGCTGCAGGTGAAGATCTGCTCCTCCATTGACCTCCTTGGGCTGCAGGGGCACAGCTGCCTCACCATGGGCTACACCATGGGTTGCAGGGGAATCCCTGCTCTGGCACTGGAGCACCTTCTCCCCTCCTTCAGCACTGGCCTTGGTGGCTGCAGAGCTCTTTCTCACACACATTGTCACTCCTCTCTCTGGCTGCAGTTGCTCCTGCACAGGAACTTTTTCCACTTCTTATCTATGTTATCCCAGAGGTGCTAACCATTCTCACTAATGGGTTCAGGCTCTGGCCAGGGTGAGCCCATCCTGGTGCCATCTGGTATTGCTTCTTGCAGCTTCTCACAGAAGCCACCCTTGTAGCCTCCCAACTACCAAAACCTTGCCACAGAAACCCCATACACAGGCTTACCCATGTTTCGTTTTAAAATGTATTATAATAAAAAACAGCAATGCATGTATATTATAATATCTATATGTTAATTTTTGCATTGGTGTGTTCCATATCTGTACCAATTTTTTATTATTAGTAACAATAACATGTTATTAAGAATAATGGTGTTTTGCATTTACATAGTGGTTTGTGTGCATTTCATCCAAAAAATACATATGGGATGTTACTACCTATATTTTACGCAAGTGGAAACTGAAGCACGGGGCACAGTATTAAGGCAGACGTTCTATTGCATTTAAATATCTGACTCTTCACTTACAGTTAAATATCTGACTTTCACTTCAGTCACCTTCAAATCTTTAAATTTAAAACCCCACATATTTAACTGTTTATTACACCAGTGTGCTAAGATATTGACAGAACATATTGTTCCTAAAGAACAGGATATTTACACTTTATTGAAAAATATGCTATAAATAGAACCTAGAAGCTTTATCTAGAAACAAACAAATAAATAGCATATGATAACTTTTCATCAATATTTTCCATATGAAATCAAGGTTGGTTGTTGGTTTTTTTTTTCCTAATTTGGCTTATTTCACTACAGAATCCTCAAAAGTACCAGGTCTGCTGAAGACTCAATAGCAACAGAACATTCTATGCTTGAGAGTTGTAACTGAAATTATTTAGAAAAATATATTTCATTTTCTTGGATCTTGCCTGAGCTTCCTCACACAAGACTGGAATCTCCCTTGCGTGTTGAGGCTTGAATATGAGAACTATTGCTCCAGGCACAGCCATGTATTAGCCTTGTATTAACATCTTGGAGCTCCCTGTGTATATCACACCAAAATGCAGAGAGATCCATAAAATAAAATGTAACATTCTACCTTATAAAAAAATGCCATTTTACATAAGGTAGGTTTCTTAGCCTTTCACTTCTGTCTTTAAAAACATGTGCTTGTGTTTTTTAAGAAATACTTAGAGAAGGAGAAAGAATAGCGTTCAAAACTAATAAATTTGTTTGCTTTTGTATCTTTCCTGACAAAGGTTTTCACAGTATTTTCAAGGCTCTGTTTAGCTGATGGCAGTAGCACTAACAGTGTATGGTTATATCTCTTAGTCCTCAGAATGGCAGTTCTTAACAGATGCTTGTGATACTGCAGTGAAGATAATTCTGACATACAAAAAATATCATGGAGCATCTTATATTGTCACTTAATTTTTTTGGACTAACAATGGACATACAGTCATTAGAAACTATTTCATTTAATTTTTGGCCTCAATATAAAGGAATTATAATGTTGAGGTGCAATACAAACCATATATAATGTAACACTGAAGGTCAATGTATTAAGATAACATGTATAACTGGATTACATAGACTAATGTCCCCTACTTCGTGTGAGAGAAGTTCCTTCTGTAATAGTTTACATACCTTGTAAAAAACGGTAGAGTGAGAGAAAATCATTTACATTGTCTGTACACAAAATGAACCAATGCTAAAACACAAGTTACATAATGATAAATTTTACTCAGCAGTATTCACCACTTACTACAGTGCTGATAGTAATCATGTTATAATTCAGCACAATAGCGCTTAAAAAAATGTACTCTGTTTTAAATATAAACATGAAGTTTCACTGATTTATTTTAAGTCCACTAAGATTGAATTTCTGATGCAGTGGACAGTCACTAGCTCTTCATATAATTTTTTTATCACATCTGACTCATGAAGCAGAAACATATTCCTGCTGCTAGCAATGGATAAGTAATTCAGCAGATCATCATTCTATAAATCAATTGAAAATATTATTAAAGAGGAAAAAATTGAGTGCTTTAAAAAGTAGAGATCTGATTAAATGTAGAATATATGGTTAGATGTAGAACTACAAAGTGTAGAAAAAGAAAATATAACAAGACCATACCCATATACGTCTCACATAATCTACTTGTAGAATGTATTCTCATTAATCATTAACTTCTTTACCACTGCAAGCAAAGGGACAGTTATGGTAAGAGCACCGTATCTGTTTCAACATATATTCTGAAATCCTTTTGCAGAGACAAGTTAACAATCAGTAGCCCCTTTTTTCTTTTTTTTTTTTTTTTCTAAATGTCTTTTTTAAATTATGGAATTTGTCCATAATTTAATTTTACTAAAATTACTATTAACATGGTAAATGCTTATTGCCTATTTGGAAGGCTGCTTTTCCAGTTTGCAGAAAGATGTTCCTGTAGATAGCTCCGTGGGGATCTATTTTTGATACATTTTTTTAGTGAGGAATAACACTTCCAAGTTGGGGGGTGGGGGGTGGGGAAACACACCCAATGACAACAAACAAAACAAAAAAAACCACAACAAAACACCAAAACCACCAACAGTCCAACAAAAAAAAAAAAAAAATCCACACAAAAGCCCCAAACAAAAAAAACTCTATAAACTTATTAGCCATCTAGTCTACCGCCTTCTATATATAAGCAAGTTACCTGACAGATGATATTTTTTAGTGTTCTTTAATTTTCCCTGTGTCCAGTCACAATTGATTCAAAGATCTACTTTTCTTAGAATAGGTGTGGCATAAATACCAAATTAATTTATAGTATAAAGTGAAATAGAAATCATATTCATTTAAGCATTTACTATAACACATACAACATGTCTTTCAAAATCTGAATACAAACACAAAGCTAACAGTTCCTTGTGCACACAGTTTCTGCTTCTTACAGAGAGTATTTATGCTAGAAGGATGTTTCTTTGAATCAAAATTCCAGTTGCAAGAGCATAGTCTCTCTGTATAAATTGTGTTCTTGTTCTGTGTATTAAAGCACTGAGTTCAGTCCTGTGGAATACATTCATCACAACTCCGCCAAAAAGAAGAGAAATACCCTGACACACGAAAACCAACCCTCTCCTTTTACCCGTGTAATTTAAAATCTGTCAAGTGTGTAAGAACCATGTGTTTGATACTTCAGGTACATGGAAAGACACAGCTAAGGCCTGGGGTTTGACACCCCTAGGGCTGTTGCAGAGCTGTATTTATGAAAAGCTGAGCTGATTGAGATGAAAGGCATTTTGCCCCCATTAAGATCACAATTTCATGTATCCTCCCACTTGGAACACTGAGCAAAGGCTCAATCTATTTCAGAAGCACACTAAAAATCACAAGTTATATTCCTGCTAGTTCTATGTAATTACTGAATGTAGAAGGGGGCAGATCTTAAAAACATTTCCTTGACTGCCTTGATTTGCAGCTGGAGAAGGAAACAACAGCAACACTTATTACTTTCCCAGTTGGATAGTACAGGAGCAAGAGAGGAGAGATTTAGCACAGTCAGTGCTCTTCCCACTACCTCCTCTTCCCCACTGTACCACAGCAGCAGATTTAATGAAGCATAAGCCCCAGGAGAGGCTCTGTGGAGTTTCTTCCTTTTGTAGCAATAGGGGACAGTGATACCTTGATTGAAACTTGGTTTCCAAAGTAGTTCCTGAATAATAAAACTGCGTATCACCCATTGATCTGGAAAAATCACAGAATGAGAATCTAGCCTGTTTTGAACAAGGTCTGGAGGATAGAAGGTACTTCTCCAGTTTCTTTTCCACTCTATGAGTTAAATTATTGATCTGCTCACTTCAAGCAGAGGAACGTGGGTGGCATCCAAGGTATTTTATTAAGGGTACACTTGTATGAAATATAAAAACTTCAGTTTGCAGGGGTTTAGGAGCATTTAATTCCTTAAGACTTGCACAGCATTAAAGCCTCTTAATTTTACTCTGATTTCCACAAATAAGAAAGCTTACAAGTTAAAAGCAAACCTCATTCAAACCTAGATTCACTCAGTTCTCAGTGAAAAAGCATAAACCCTCACTGAACTAACAAACAGTAAGAAAAAAATCCAAAACAAACAAACAGAAAAAAATGGAGTGTTTAATCAAACCCCAAGTCAGGTGAGTTTTGCATAAAGCTGGTAAGGTGTTTACTCAGAACTAGGCAGTATAATTCTTTGGTTATTTTATATTACTCAAACCATATCTGAAGCTCACTACTCATTGTCTTAATTCATTTCATAATTTTTAATTATGGTTTGGATTAATCACACACACACACACACACACACACACACTGAAATACTCTGCTATTTAAGTTCATGTAAAGAGAAAAAAAAAGAAGGCTACTAGGTATTCCGTGAATGCAACTGAACCAGTATCTTTTGTAGGACCAATCTTGAAATAACTCTTTTTTAGGTAGCGTTTTACTTTTTTGTCTCTACATCCCCTTCATTCCTTCAAGTTCTCACATAAGCTTTAATATTTTTCTCCAACTTTATAAAGCAAGATGCAGAGAATAAAAATAAAAATTTTTTAAAAATAAACTTTTAAAATAGTCACTTTTCTGGAAGAGCAATGCAGGTATTTCAGTTGACTCTTGCCAAGTATTAGGAAGGCAAAAGAATGTAAAAGGCTCATGTCAATAGATTTCAGTTAATTGCTCCCAAAAATGTTTCCGGATTTATTTATTTATTTAATGAAGCAGTAATCAATCCACTACCATTAGAATGAATAATAGAATTTATTTTCTTTTCTGAAAGACCATTCAAAAGAAAATTACATTCTCCTGTAAAATATATTTCAATTATTGGACAGCTTAATTAACACTTACCTAATCTTAACTTGGACAGATACAAACCAAAATTCAAAAATATAGTGCATTGAAGCTAATTAAAGTGTCAAAATTTCTAACATGTATGAAACTATGTATTTTTTTATTAGAAAGTTAGGAATGTATATCAGTCTTTCAATAAATTATTTTTAAACAAATAAACAAATTGTATTTAATATTTTTTGATAGTAAACAAATTTTTAATATTTTCAAAAATAAAGGATATAGATGTAAATTATCTTATATTTCTGGTAAAAGGTTTGTTAATTACTTGCTTTTGGTGAATCAGAAATATTAACAGTTTGAATAGTAAAATGTAATTTTGCAAGTCAGTGGATTACTTATTATTTAAATGAAGGATAGAGGGGAAAGTAACATTCATTAGTGCGGGTAAGTGAGTGTGAATATTGCCAATTTAATTTCCCATCTGTAACTCTCCAAAGTAAAGGCCTTTATAGAAGAATATTAACTCGAGGTATAAAAAAAAGTTTTAAAGTGTTATTTATCAAAATTGTCATTTGTTACTTGTTCATCTCATACTCACTGAAAATATTAATGGCTTTATTTACTAAACTTGGCTCATTTTGGTTTGATAGCCCTCCAGCTAGAAGCACTTGGAGGTTTTTCTGCTGTCTTCATTGAAAGTTGGATTGTTCAGCTCATATTTGAGCTACAAGTGAACATTATTTGAATTGCAATATTTGCCTGAAGCCAGTATAATATATCAGTTTCAGTTATGCTCCAAAAATATGAAATTTGTTGGCTGAAAATTCTTTCACATTTGTCAAATGAATCACTTGTATAAGAAGAGCACTGAGTCCAGAGACAAATGTGAAAGATCTCATAGACAATGGTTTGCACAATAAAATTCCATCTATTTCAAGTTAATTATTTGCCAAAAATGGTGGAATGCTTTGATCCTATCTTTCACTCTAGCTAGCACACGCATAGTTCCCTTCAACCTTCTCTGTTCTCTCACCAGTTTTCAAGCAGAGAGAAATAGAGAAAAATTAAATAATTAAAAACTGCTTTTCAGTCATTTAAAAACCCAAGCAAACCAACCAAACAAACAAAAAAAAAAAAAGATTAAAAAACCAAAACCAACCAAAGCTACCAAAAACCAAATCAACAACAAGAAAAAAACAACACAACAAATAAACCAAACCAAACCAAAACAAAAAAAACCCAGAAGCTGAGCTTCTCCCTGATTTTTGCAGGGTTTATAAATCCTATAGGAAAATGCTAGCCAGGTCGTGACTATTCAAGGCAGCAGTCACAAACAGCAGAAGCTCTGAAACTATTCCCAGCTCTGTTTCTCTTGGGTCAGCACTCACTGAGTGCTTTAGTGAAGGCTGACCCTCTAACCATCAACAGAGCCTTACAGGGGCAGAATAGTAGACTTAGACATTATTACCTCTTTTAGAGCAGTGTGACTGCATGCTTGAGTGAACATGGTCTAGCACAATTGGGACATGTTAAAATTGTACTCAAAAACGGATTAAGATGGGGTCAGAGATGCTGAAATCTACCAGTACCTAGAAGCTATTGTTAAGATGTGATTAATATTTCAGGATTAATGGGGAATACTTGTAAGATTTTAAGTTTACATCTTTGTTACTGCTGGATTGAAGGTATGGGTCTTGACTTTTGTGGGTTTTTTTTTTTAAATAGTGAATCCTTCTAGCAAATTATTGTTTGTATATTCAGTATCATGAGGGTGTTCATGATCAAGATAGCAGCTTTCCATACACATATGTTTGCGAATACTTTCCCAAACACTTGTGTAATCTGACATCCTTGCAAGAAGCAGCAAATCTTGAAATACCTACCTACAGAATAAAATGAGTACAGGTTTATTTTCTTACTATCTGTTAGGTATCATAAAATATGGAGCACTAAATTTTGTCCTCAGGTTCTGCAAACAGCTCATGCTTCAGGGAATCAGGACTTTGAGTGACACTGATCACTCAGACAGTGAAATCATCTGGCTTGGATCTAATTCATGATGGAAAGCTAATATCCATTTAATGCTGAAGAAAAAAAAACAAACACCAGTAGCTCAATACTTATGATTTCTCTGAGTGAGATATAATAGTGGGTAAGAAATCATAATCCACTTACTGCTTTAATT